GTTGTGCTAGTTTCCCCTGTATTGTGTACTGTCTCACCTTCACCCAAGATACCACTTATTTATTGCCTATTTAGTATTTCCCCCCTGCCCAAAATAATATTTTAAAGTAATTTTTCTCTCAGCAGGTTTCCTTGAAAACACCCCTAACCTATGCCTCCTACAGTGTTTCCCTCATAACAGCTAGAATGATTCTCTAAAACAGTGCATCAGATCATGTCACTCATGTCTCACTCAGAATAAAATCCAGAGTTCTTCCTATGGCCTACAAGGCCCACCATGAGCCTTCTGCTCCTTCACCTCCTGTACTGTTTGGCACGTTCCCTCTTACCTCTGCTCTAGCCACACTCTTTCTCAAAAAGCCAAGCAAGGCTGTCCCTCAGGACCTTTGCACTCCCATTGCTTTTGCTACCTAGAATGCTTTTCCCCCAAATATTTGTGTGGTTTGCTGCTTCACTTTTTTTAGGTCTTTGTTCAAATGTCACTTTATCACAAAGAACTTTCTTGACCTCCCTATGTAAAAGAGTAGCCTTTCCCTGGTATCTTCTCACTCTCTTACTTTGCTTTATTTTTCTTCTTGGCACTTACTGCCACTGATTGATAAAGGACAATATTTGTGTTTGCTTTTTTTCTGCTTATTTTCAGTGTCTCCCCACTAGAATGTAAGTTCTGTAAAGACTTAAAATTTCGTATTTTTGTCTATTTCTGTTTTCTTAGTGTCTAAAAAAATACCTGATGTATCTTAGGTGCTTAGTAGGTATATGTTGAATAAATTAATGAAAGTTTCTCTTGCCAGTATAATCAGCTTTATTTCATGATATTTGAAGTAAGTCTGGCTTTAGCAATACATAATTTTTTCTTTTGTTCCTTCCTCATCAGTCGTTTAAAGAATAACTAATATACGTTAGGTTCTGGGGCAGTAAAGATGAACAGGATACCTCCTACCCTCCAGTAGTGCATAATGATTACTGGCTGTAATGAGGTGTGTGACATTACCTTGAAATAAAAACTTGAAATAGATATTTTCCATACAGTAGAGTAAGTGACATGATACATACAAAAGGTTACTTGGACATATAGAGGAAAGGTATATTAGTTAGAATACACATTAAACAGCTATGACAAAGAGAAACCAAAATACAGTGACTCAAGCAAGACCCTCAATGAGATGGATAGACACAGTGGCTGCAACAGTGGGCTTAAACATAATGATTTTGAGGATGGCTCAGGACCACGCCGTGTTTTGTTCTGTCATACACAAGGTCGCTATGAGTCGGAGCCAACTTGACCGCACCTAACAGCAACAACAAGCAAGACCGGTTGTTTAAATTTTATGTAATAGTTCAGAAGTTCATTAGTGCAGAGTGGGTAGACAGATCTGCCAGTGGGTCCATCCAGGGAAACTGGTATGTTTTATTTTGTTGTTCCATCTTATCTTAGGGCAGGGACTGACAAACTTTTCCTGTAAAGGGCCACGTTATAAATATTTTAGGCTTTGTGAGCTGTTAGAGTACTAAAGTAGCCATATACAATATGTAAATGAAAGAGCTGGTGTGTTTTCCAATAAAAATTTTTTTACAAAATGTAGGTGGTAGGCCACATTTGGCCCACAGGCCATAGTTTGCCAACCCGTGTCCTGGGGTGTTGCCTTCATCTGCATGGTTGAAGCAGGTGTACTAACTTCACACTGTTCTTCAGCCTGGCCAAGAGAAGAGAAAATGGAGGGCAAGTAGGGTCTTTTTTTTTTTTTAATTCGGTTTTTTGTTGACTAAAACTTGGTCACATGCTCACACGTATATCTGCAGTGGAGCCTGGGAACTTTAAACTAGCTGTTGACCATGTACCCCCAGTGAAAACTTAAGGGAGGAGTTCTAATACTTTTTGGAAGAGAGGGAGGATGGCTACTAGGGACAATTAACAAAGATTCTTAGGTTTAGTCACAGGAAGACTAAAGAAAGTAAGTTAGTCACCTACGGGCTCAGTTTTTATTAAATTAATTTTAATTCCACAGAACGTTAGGATATTCATGCTTGAAAATACCTTAGATATCACATGTTCTAAGCCCCACATTTTACAGGGTCAGAGGGGCAAATTAAGTGACTTGTCTAGGGTGGTAAAGTTGCTTGGTATTGGAGCCCAATGTGGAGCTTGTCTTTCTGGGGCACTTTTCACTGTATGTTGCCCTGTAGGAATTCATGTTCTTTTTTCGGCTATTTGCATTAACTCCTTGCTAAGTCCTTTAGCAGTGTTCTGCATGTTTATTGTTAATTGTTTGCCTGCTCTTCTGACCTCTCATAAAATAGCGGTATCGTTTCTGCCTGATGTGCTTTAAAAACCATGACTAAAGAAGTCATGAAGTTGAAAGTTGATTGGATTAATGGGAACCTTGAATTGAAGCCAAGTGGATACTATAGACATTAGTGCACCACTCTGGGTTCTTGAGCAGCAGGACAGCATTACAAAATGCCTAACTGTCATGTAAGCTGCAGTTTAATATAGAGCCGGAACTGGGATGGAAGAAAGTTTGAGGTTTCTTCCTCATATTTAAGCTCATCTACCTGGATGTTCCTCATCTTAGTTATCTTTTACCCCTTGGCATATCTTTGCATCAGTATGATTGGTGGCCTGTTTTTTTTCTAATGTTAAATGTGATATAACAGAAGACCTTAGGGCCATAAAGGGCAGAATGGTCAAGTAGACCAGTTTTCTAGTTTTTCCTTAAATCATGCTTATTAGTGTAACTGTATTCTTAAGTTTAGATGCTTCTAATCCTACAGTAGCAAGCATTTTAGTATTACCTAAATTTAAAAATTGCTTTCTGAAGGTAGATGGCAGTGGTGTTTGTTTCTAATAAAAAGTTATTATAAATTTTATTTGCAGTAAAACCTTCATAATTTAGATGTCACAAGTTTAGTTTTTGGTAATGATTTGAACATACAGCATTTGCTTTGTTAATTTTAATCTCTGGACGTGGATGTATGTGATCTCTCTAGGTGCTTTTGGCATCGATTTCTGTACATGTTGGGCCATAATGGTCGCTTTCTATTGCAGCTTGAAAGTGGGTGTTAGAGCTTAGTATATAGGTCATCTTGCCAGTATCAGAAAAATTGAATATATACTTGAACTTATTGTATTTTAAGGAATTAAATTTATTTTTAAGCAGTTAAATTTGTTTTTGTTACTTTGGGTAGGAGCTCTCCCCCTTTGTGACAGCTGATTGTATTACTTAAATAAATACATTATTACTTGAACAAAGTGACAGCTATTAATAAATTTAGCAAGCACAAACAACTAATATATATTAAGTAAAAGCCATGGAAATGAACATTTTTTATTTCTTGATTTGGAGAAAAACAAACAAAAAATGGATTCCTCTCCATGTTTGGATAATATTAAAATTCCTACTAGTCTATTTCTAGCAGAATTATTAAGCTTATTCTAAGAGGAGTACTAAAATATTTTATCGGTCAGATAATGAAAGTATTTTAATGCTAAGAGCAGAGTTTTATATGGAACTGGTAGGAAATTACTTTTTATCTCTGGGTAAGCTGTTAAATTTTCGTGTTTTAGTTCATCCGTGTGTAAAAATTAGTACAATAATAATTACTTTGTGAAGATCTTAAGTGATTTCATGAATGTTTGTCTTCTGCCATATGAACCATGAATGAAAGATTTTAAGTTCTACAGAGCATGTATGTTTACTTTCAAATTATTATTTTTTTTGTGATTCTTCAGAAATTCATGGCAGATACAAGCACAATACAGCTATTAATAATATTTACTTACTATAACAATTACAAATAACTTTCCTAATTAAACATTTTTATGTTTATTTTTTAAATGTTTGCACATGGAAAAAATTAATTTGTAGAATCTACCCTGTGTTGTTTTGCTGTTAGGTGCTGTCGAGTTGGTTCTGACTCATAGCGACTCTGTGTACAATGGAACAAAATACTACCGGGTCCTGAGCCATCCTCACAATCATTGCTCTGTTTGAGCCATTGTTGCAGCCACTGTGTCAGTCCGTCTCATTGAGGGT